AATGAATGCACAATGTCGCACACGAGCAACAACAAATGGCCATGCAGAAATAAAAAAATCAATAAAATTTTGTGAGATTGCCATTTTTTTTCTTTATTGCAATTCGTTTTTTGTGAATGGTAATGTATGCATTGTGATGAGACTAGTATGGTAAATGTTGTTCATGGATTAAATGTATTTGATAAATTTTTGTTTGGCTTTGTGAACGTTAAATATTTTGTTGTTGTTGGTTCAAATAAAGAATGCTTAATGATTGACCACTTATTGCATAATCCATAAATTTTAATCAATCTTCGCTACAAAACAACATGGTTACATTAATTGACAATTGCAGCAACTGTTCACTGTTCATTACAGAACAATTAATGCAGTTAATGCCAATTAACGCAACCACAACAATGACATTCATTATTTTCTGAAATCAGTGTTTGCATTCATTCATCCAATGCACTCTTCCTGTTCACCACACGTCGTATTAAATATCGTATTTATTGCTACATGTGTTTTAATATTATTGAAGCCAACGATTCAAGTCAGAGCAAAGTATTGAATACAAAATCACTTAATAAAATCTTTTCAAACAACAATCCTTCCATCTAAAACATAACTCTGGCCAAAGTTAGCCCAACGTGAGTGTTTACTGTTCGTGATAGCTTTATATGTGTTTACTAATATTATTATTATATTTTCTGCTTTTACTTGATAATATGTATTTTTGTTGTGTTTTTGTTTTTGTTTTTTTGTCATTATCAATGTACACAATTGAAAATGCAACATAAAAATGAGCAAAACCAACTTAAATGTCGATTCATTTTCAAAATAGAGCGAATTTTCTAGAAATACCCTCATCAAATCATCGATGAAGACATTATAACATTTATTTTGATTCAATTTCCAAGTCTTTGGTTTCATCTTTTGGTGAATGAATTAGAACCGATTCAGCAAACAGAAGTTTTGCCATTTCAAGCAAATTGACTCTCAAGTTAGTTGTCAGGGATCCATTGTATAACATCTTGCGATCGGTTTGAACTCAGATAATTTGATCAAGTCCAAAAATAAGATTCATAAATATATTTGATTTTTGGATGTGGATTCATTCAAAATATACTTATAAAAAAATATATATTCCACATTTTGCGATATTTTCTTTCTTTTTTTTCTTTCTGTTTTGTTTTTGTTCTTTTTTTCTTGGTTTTGTCCTGTTGTTGGTTCCGATCAATTTGCGTTTCACATGTCAACAGTCAAATATATTAACGAAATAATGTTGCGATTGGCAGACACAGCAGCGAGAGAGTAGCGGACGAGTATAACATCAAATTGAACGAGAGAAAATTCGGTGAGATGATTGCATGAGCATGAGCATTGATGTGTGATTTGATGAACTTGGTGATAATCGATTCAAATTGCAAGAGAATTTCTTCCTTTTTATACTCTTACTTAAGTTAGAAATAGTTCACTATAGAAAATAATAATAATTCGAAACTTTTTCATCTGTTAGATGTCAAGGATAAATCATTTTAAAAGAAAAACAGAACTATTCTTTGTTTTTCAAAATCAAAGTAGAACATTTCCCGTAAAAGTATCTTTCCACAATGTCGCCTTCGACGAGAAATCATAAATGAGACTAGACATACCGAATATAAAGAAGAAATCATACACTTAATTCGTAAATAAGTACATTCATGTTAGTTGTTGTTTTGTTTTGTTTCTCTTTTGGCTACTTGTGTCGTTCCATGTAAGTATTAAACTATTGAAACTTGTGAAAGTGATATAGTTACGACAGTCACATTCTTTTCACATTTACTCAATATAAATATCTTCGATAGGATAAGCCGTTTCGATAAACTTCTGATAGAAATGTTGAAATGCACGGCTGTTCAATGGGAAAACAAGTAGAAAAAAGAAACGGTCAAAATTTTTCGAAGGATTTGGCTTTCGCTACAGAAATAAATGAGTTGTAATTACCCTACGGCCTCTGCTACTGGTCTTGTTGATTCTTGTCCCTTAAAAACATGACACGCAAAACGTTGTATTGTCGGATGCTTTGTGATGAATCCAATATAGCGATGATCTCGTGGATGAAATGCACAGAATGAGACATTTTTGAGCGAATAAAAGTAATCAATGCATGGTCCCTTCTTATCCTTGCTCTACAAAGACAGAAAATACAAACAAAAAACCAATAATTTCCATTCCGGAAAAGAAGTTCATAAAAGCCAAGAAGAGGTGATTAGCTTACAGATGATGATGATGATGCGCGTTCAACCATACGTAATCCCTGGTCTGATATTTCCAAAATGCAAACTTGAATGCTTGGCGATTCGCCACATTCGCCGACAATTTTCCGCACGGCCTGGCAAACAACGCCGGTACCTTTGTGTGCGGTTGTCTCAACTGAACCCATATAACCGAGCAAATACCGCTCTTTTTTCACTTTTTGTGCATTCGGATCGAAATCATTGTATTCCAAATCGACAGCATATGCCGATGGGAATATGCCTTGTCGGCCTGTACGTAAATTGACACCCTCGCACCATAAATCGTCCGCCTCTTTCTGCACATAAATCGGATCGCCGATTTCGATATCGATTTCATCGTGATGACGTGGATTAAATTTGTGTAGGCCACGATGAGTTGCCTCGAGCATTTCCAATTGGCTATAAGGTACGCCACCGAATGGCGGTGGAAATGGTGAATGTGATGTTGGTGACATTGCCAGTTGGGGCGATAAAC